CTGGCTAAGACCAAGATCTCTGGATTAGTCAGCACTTATGATTGTACAACATAGCAGGGGGAGCTTAAAGGCAGATGTAGGAAATAGCAGAACTAAGGCACTAATGAGCCGGGCTGTAAAAGGGAGGAACAATGCTTTCTTGTGAAAGACAGGTCCCAGTTAACAAGCCACCTGTGCTATCTTATTAATGTTTGATCCTGGAGAATGATTTGCACAAAGTAATAATTCTTCAGCTGTAGTGTTTTCCTGGTATTAGAGACATCATAAATCTTATGTATCATTAAGATATCAATTGTGACTGTTGGCACACGGGTCTGTCTCCACACACCAGCCGAAGGCTCATTTAGCAAGCCGCACAGGCTTTGAAATGATTTATAATTTTAATAATAGCCAAATTCATAAGCCAAATCAATAATACCTAAAGCCTACTCAGGGTGGTTTCCAGCCAGTCTTCTGCACAAGCCTCCCATACTCTACCCAAATCCCCACTCCCTGGCAGAGAGCCCAGCCAAGATGGTGCAGTATAGGTGCTGCCCTCTTTGGGAAGGCCAGAGGGACTAGTGAGGTCTGTGTACCCATAAAGGATCTTAGTGGTTAGCTAAAGCATTCAGAGACCACTCCCCAGGGCGGTGAGCCAGATTAATGACCAACCCAGAATAAGGATGTGGCAGGCGTCTCACTCAGCCCTAGCACTTCCACACTGTGAACAGACAATGGTTCCTGAAGATGCCCGTGTGCCAACTTCCAGAACTTGGGGATGGACATGTTACCCTACGTTGGAAAAGCAACTTTGGCATATGTGATTAAGTTATGGGTCTTGAAATGAGGGATTAGCTGAGATTATCCAGGTAGACCCAGTAGAATCACTAAGGTTCTTTTTTTTTTTCCATGCTTGATTTTAGTTTTTATTTTTATTAGTACACGTTTGCAGGACATAGTGATTGCACATCATGGGGGATCGGTACAGGCATGTAATACATCTTCCCTTCCCTCTTCCCTCTCCCTCCATCTCTTAGTCCCCTTCCCATTTGCAAAAGATCTGTCTCCTTGCCTCTATTATCTTTTATTTTGCTCTTTATTCATACTGTATACTTTGAGTTTCTTAAATAAGAGAACCCATGTGATGTGATATTTAAACTTATGTGTCTGATTTATTTCACTTTATTGACCCAAGATACATTCATTTTCCTTCTTGTAGTAGTCCATTGTATATAAACACCTCACTTTTTAATCCTTTAATCTTTTGATGGGCATGTAGGCCACTTTTAATAGGGAGGGAGGGAAGGCAAGCGGGGAGAGATTGAGAGAGACTGAAATTGAGAGAAGAGAGAGCAGAGAGAGACTGAGGTTGGATGCTATTCTACTGGCTTTGGAGGTGAAAGAAGGGGCCCCAAGCTCAGGAATAAGGGCAGCTGGAAAGGCAAACACATTCTCCAGAAAGAACACAGCCCCGCCACTGCCTCGATTTTAGGAATTCTGACTTCCAGAACTGTAAAATAATATATGTGCTGTTGAAAGCCATCGTATTAGTTTGCTGAGGCTAACAAATTGCCACACATTCATTGATGGTTTAAAAAAAATAATAGTTTATTCTTTCACAGTTCTGGAGGCCGTAAGTCCAAACTTAAGGTGTTAGTGGCACCGTGCTCCCTCTGGAGGCTCTAGGGAAGAATCTGTATGATGCCTTCCTTCTCTGATGTTGGAAAAACCCTTGGTGTCCTTCGGCTTGTAGACACAGCACTTGTGACTTCGGTATCCTCAGTCTCTGTGTTCTCTCTTCTCCTTGTGAGGACACAGTCGTACTGGGTAAAGTGACAGAATTCCAGTGTGACTCTGTCTCAACTAAACTGCGTCTGCCTCACTCCCTCCAGACCAGGTCACATTCTGAAGTCCCCAGAAGGGCATAAATACACAGAGGAATGCACCGGCCAGCCCTGTACAGCCAGTAAGGGTTGGGAATTGATACCCCAAGGGCGCTTCCCAGGGATGAGAGGCTGCCGCCCACCCCAATGGCCCTGCCAAGCCAAAATGTATAAAGTCACCACTGCTGCCATTCTGTAACATTCGGATAGCCTGAGTTTTGTGGATCTCTCTTTTAACAAAAAGAATCCTCCTATCTAATTGGTCAAAGCTGACGGATATTTTAGGAATTGTCACTTTCCTAGAAATGGTCCTGTCTCGGTCCAGGAATGTAGCTCAGTGGCAACCGCGCCTGCCTGGCAAACACAAGGTTCTGAATTTGACCCCTGGTACTGGACAAAGGAAAAAAATAAAAGAAATGGTCCTGTCTGTGAATAGGAGGGGATGCATCTCTCGTGGTCCCTTGCTCCGTGCTGTGCCGCTGTCTAAGAGCTGGCCTGCACCGCATTTCCCAGCTCTGTGCCCAGTGCGGAGGCTGGGCTTCATTACCCTCCCTGCGCTCCGCAGGCTGGAGCTGCTGTGTGCCTTTGTTGCTTTAGCTAGGGAGGCCTAGGAACACCACTGGCAAAGGAAAGCATAGCTGCTCTCAGCCCCAGGTACCCACCATCGTGAGGAAGACTCGGGCCCCCTTTGGCCCTGAATTGTCCCTGGGGAAGAGCAACTTCCTAGGATCTTGGTTAGCTGCTTTCCTGGGAAGGTTTGATCTAATTGTGCCAGGAAGCCCCAGCAGGAGGACAGAAAGTGTCCTGGTTGCCCTGCTGGGAAACAGCTGGCCGTTTGCAGCGCAGGGAAAGGGAGAAAAGAAGCTCCTGACACCTGCCTCGTGCCCTGGGGTCTTCATCTCACCTCCCCTCTAAGGATACACAGGTTGATGCACAGTCCCCCTTCTGTCAGCACCCTGGTTTGGTTTCCTGGGCCACTGTCCTCCTCTGTGAGCCATGTCTTTGCAGACCTGAGCTCCTGAACAGCAGTGGGGGCAGGGGGGGCCCCCACTTGACCTGCCATTCTCTGGCTGCCTAGTGGTATCGGCCCAGATGTTCCTTGGGCTAAGCCTCAGCCCTCCTGCTAAGGGGAGGACACAGGATGGTGGAGTCTGCAGCCCCCTCCAGTGCAGACAGCCTGGCTCTTCCTTCTTCGTGGCCAGGCTGATGTCTGAGACAGGGAATGAGCTGGTATGAACCACTAGGGCATGGTAAAATACTTCCAGAAAAGCCCTTCACTCGCTGTGAAGGGTGTGAGGTGGGGCTTACTACCTGACCCAAAGTCACAGCTGGCCTCACAACAACCAGCCGTGCCTCTCCCTGCGTCGCCCTTATCTCCCAGGCTAGTTTCTTAGAGGCCCTTTCCACGTGACTCGCTGTGAGACAGAATGGCTGGGGAGCCGTGGTGTGCAACACACACTTGGAGCCTGGGCCGTGTGGGCCGGGGCCTCAGCTCCCTATCAGACCAGACTGGGCCAGAGCTAGTGCCCTTCCCCTCACCCTAAACCCATTTAATGGGGGGCTAGGGGGCCAGGGAGAGGCTCAGGAGCGGTCACGAGACCCTGTCTGATGCTCTCCATGGCAGCCCTGACACGCAGGGGTGACTGATGCTCCTCAGGGCTGTGTCACCACCCAGCCAATCTCCCTTCCGTCTCAGTGTTCAGCAGAACGCCTCCTTCCCAGCCCCGCCGCACCCTCCACTCCTCGACTAGCTCTGGGGGTCTTTCAGAGAGCTACCTGCTAAGGATCTGCTGGCCTATTCTCAGACACAGGACTAGGGCTCGGGCCCCATCATTATCACTGCATCCTAGATGAAACCTTGTGTACGCAGGCGGACTTCCTGCTTCCATTGTTTCTTAAAAGAACTGGAATTTTCTAGAACGTAATGGAAAAGCATTATGCTCAGGCTGTTGGTGGCAGTACTAATTCTGCCCTATTCTCTCAAAGTATGCATCTTTTAAGATTTTTATATCTTGGGTTATAGATTTCTTTCATTTAAAAAGTCTTGCTGATTATTTCTGAAACAAGGCATATCAGAAACACCCTAGCAGATCCAAGGATGCAGGACTCACAGGCAGCTGCCAGCTTCTTTGTTGTCCTGTGCCCTGCATTAAAGCAGCAGTAATGCTGGGCCAGCTGCTCCCAAAAGTCCCCATGGCCCTGCACCCCCTGGACACAGGTTTGGTCACCAGGAAGGGGAGCAAAGGATACACAAGCAGCTACGTGAGAGGAGGTTAAGAATGGGGAGAGAGCCGTCTGGCACGAAGAGGGGGCTGGCAGAGTGGCCCGATTTCACGTCTCAGAGCAGCAATTGCTTTGCTTTGTGTTTCCCTGAGGGTGATGCGGCCTCTGCCCGGAAGCTAGTGTCTGCACACAGAAGGTATCCCATGAGTGAGTGGCCACGTTTCTGCTGGGAAACTGGGTACAAACCAGCAGGAGGATTGGTCAGGCAGGGGAGGGGACAGGGAAAAGGAAGCTCCAACTATGGCCTGACTCTCTTCAGGCAGGCTTTGGAAAAAGAGTGGCATTAGCCTGGGCCTCAAAGAGGTGACTAGGGTGAGACCTCAAGGAGGCAGAAGTAGTATCAAGTTCTAGGCAGTGGGATCACCATGGCATAAGCCCTAAGCTGAAGCCCCCAAGCATTCTTAGGGCACAGGGGGCAGTTGATATGGCTGGGAGATGGGCATAGGCCAGAGACAGAATGGGGTCGGTCCGGAAGGTGTCGGCCACCCTGGGTGGGTCTACAAGTCTGGGAAAGGCACCCGGCTCCATTCTGGGGGTGTCTGTGCCCCCTGAGCAATCTCTGCCTCTCCACCCAGCTCAGCCCAACCTTGCCTGAGGGCTGCAATTTAGAGGACTTGGTGTAGCATCAGCAGCCTGGCCCCCAAGTTCTGTCTTTCAGGGTGGTCCCCCACCCCTCCAGTGACTCAGGTAAGCCTGTGCTGGCCGGGCAGGTCTGGACAGGCCCCTCATCATGGCCAGCAGCAGCGTCAGGTACCACCCAGGAACCGATTGTTTGGATGGCACTACCTGCTCTGCCCAGCTTGGCCCAGGCTGTGCTGGTTCAAGTGACAACCACAACTCTGCTTCCTTCCACAGATGACTCTGGGGATGACGGTGAAGGGAGTGCTTCACCAGCTGACAAGAGTGAGCTCCAGCACACACTTAAGAATCTCTCCCTGAAGTTAGATGACCTCAGCACATGCAATGATCTCATTGCCAAGCACGGAGCCGCACTCCAGCGCTCCCTGAACGAGCTGGACAGCCTCAAGATCCCCTCTGAGAGTGGCGAGAAGCTGAAAGTTGTGAATGAGCGGGCCACCCTCTTCCGCATCACATCAAATGCTATGATCAATGTGAGTGCCCGCCCCCACTGCCGTCCAGGCATCCACCAGGAGGGAGGGGCTGTCTCACAGCAACCCTGTGACGCCAGACCACAGCCATGGGTTCTTGACAGACCATGGCTCCAGCCATTTCCTGTGGCTCTGAGGCATTTTCTAAAGCACTCTCCCACAGTCTGTAGCTTCTCTGTATCAGCTCCACTCAACCATTGTTGGGTGAAGATGCTCTTTTTAGCTGTCTGGTGGAAACCAGGATTGACTGTAGAATCTGGTTGAGGCTCACAGGTGGTTCAGAAAGGTCAGGGCTACAAGTTGAGAGGCCAGCCTGGTGAACTACGTTGGCCTCATAGTGGGGACGTGGCTATCATACTGGTCCTGGCATCGATCCGCACCTGCTCCTACCTGGGTGTATTCCATAGGTGCAGTGAACTCAGAGGCCACGTGAGTATGGCAGATGTACGTGGTGGGGGACTTGGGTTGGGGTTCCCTTAGTTGGAAGAGTTTTGGAACTGTACCTGCCAAGGATTGTACCAACCTGGTAGTAGCTATACAAACCGAACAACTGCAGAGTACAAACTAAGGCACCCTTCTCGGGTTCTGGAAACCATGTTGCTGTGACTGGGAGCCGGGAGGGCTTATGTGCGGCAGTAGTGTTTAACTCTGCTTCTGGGCTCTTCCTCTTCCTGCTTGGCAAGTGTCCTCCTTGGGTGCATCTGCAATAGCCTCCTCCCAAGGACAGCCTCCTAGAGGAACACATCCCTCAGGAGATTTAAGGCACAGAGGCTGTGGTGGCACGCTGGGGACAGGGGTTCAGGGTAGAAGGTGTGTGCAGGAGTGGGGGCCTGCACAAGGAAAAGGTGAGGCCCAAAGAACGTGGCTTCGGGAGGTCATCAGGCTGGCTGGAGTCAATGGGCAGTGGCTGGGGGAACCACACCTCCAAGATAGGGGTCAGAGCAGACCCAGGCTGGGAGTTGGCACCAGGCTCCAACCCTAACAGGAAACTCAAGGGCAGGGTGAGAAGGTAGAAGATGGAGCCCATTGCAGGTCAGGGTCCCCAGGCATCCAAGGGCCTCACCAGCCCCAGGCCTGCTTTACCAGCACGACTGTGAGGCAGGAGGGTTTCCCCCATACCTGCCTAGGAGCAGCTTCAGAAAGTCCTACCCTGAGGCCTGAGACTGCTGAGGAGCACCCTCTTCCCAGACTACCAGGAAATGTGGCCTACAGAGGTGCCTACCTTCGTGCATTCCAAGATCCCCCAGTGCCCAGAGCTGCAGTTGCACTGTATGCAGAGGATGCTGAAGGGCTGCGGCTCTGTGGACACGCTGTGTGTCATTGGTTCCCTTCCATCCATACACTCTTCAGGGCACCATCTTCCTTTTAGCCTGCAGATGCTATAATCCCAGGTATCTGCATCACCGGTGTCACCAGTGTCAGATACTGAGCACTAAAGGACATAATGCTTCTGCTATGTCTGTGCTTCCCTAAACATCTGGAACCTCGTGCCTGCCAACAGCTTCCCTGGCACTGCCTGCCAACCAAGATGGAGCCCCTTGGCCTGGAGGAAGCAGGTTTGGCTTTTCTAAAGTGATGAGCCTCACAGTTGGCTGAAGCCAAGCACCATCTCTTATCAATCATCAGAGGCTCGTCTGTGTTTATGAAGCTATCAAATAGCTTGAGGTTTAAGTGCATAATGAATTATTTTATGGGAAGCACAGCCTCATGGGGTTGGTTACGAGGCCTAGTTCCAGTCTGAGCTCCAGGGAAACACGTCAGTGACAGGAGCTGCACCTTTCTGCTGGGCTGTGTGGATGGACTGGTGTGAGCCTAACCTACAGGCATCTATCTGCCTTAGAGGAAGTGTGTACTGTCCCAACTGGCTGAGCTTGTCCAGGCTGCCTCAGGGCCCACGGTTCTCCTGGGAACCCTCCCCAACAGCTGTTTCTCGCCTGACAAAAACTGAATCTGTTCTCGGGTGAAAACTAGTTGTCCAAAACCCCACTCCGTGCCGAGGAACCACGTAGGAAAGCTGACTGGAGGATCATGAGACACAGGGGTCACCCTGGTGAAGCCTGGCTTCCTTGCCTGTTACGGAGAGTGGACCAGGGATCTATAACTAAGCCAACCATGAATCCTCCATCCCCACTGCCCAGGGATCTGTTCATGCACCGAGCTCTTTTGTTAGTTCCAGAGTAAAAAGTGAGCTCAGAGAAGCCACCTGAGCTGTCTAGTGTCACCAAACCTGGATGCAAACCCAGAGTTGCACGAGGAGGAGAGAGGAAGGGTGATGGCTCCTGAGCATGTGGCCCTGATGGAGTGAAAGTTCCTCTCCTGCTGTAACGACACTGAAGTCAGGATATGGACAGGGTGGCCTCACAGCTACCCAAGGTGGGATCCCACCTCCCAATCCCACCAGACGTAACTGAAAGCAGCTCTCTTTCACTATGGGGATCACATTGTATCTTCTCTACCGCACTCTCCACCCCCATCCTGACTGTGATGGGCCAGGAAGCTTTCAGCAGCCCACACCTGGCTTCTGGGAATCTCTTTCCATTGACCTCTGGATAGATTAGGCCCCTGCTCGATGCCGCATTCAGCCTTGGTGAATGGTTGTGTTTTCCACCTTGAAGGCTCTGGTTGAGCTTAGGTCACAGTGGAGCAGAAGCAAAAGGGCTGGCTGGCTAAACCCCACAGGGAAATGAGGGGCAATCCGCCTCTTGCTACCTGGACTGGGGCCCCATTACTTCCTCTTCACTTTTTCCCAAGATGGCAAAGAATCTGGCACTGTCCAGCCTTCAGCAGAAAGGTCAGAGGGACAAATTTTAAATCTCCTTTAAACTTTGGGAAGAGTATCAATAACATAAGCCTTTTGGTCCCAAGCTCCCAGCAGGACAGGGGAAGGGGAAAGGGAAAGAGATCCCTGGGACAATTTCCAGAGCCGTGGCTCCAAAACCAGTGGCACAGGCTTACACTGTGCGCCCACTGCCCCTTGAGGGGCGGGGCAACATCGTCCCCTCTTGTCTGGTGGGGCCTCTTCTGTTTGAGGGAACTATGTGCTGCAAGGTTTCTGGATGGAGACCGACGAGGGGCACTGCAGTCCTTCACCCATGCCCTTGCCTGTGCTGTACCGTCCTCACCACGCAGTGAAGCCATGGCCCTCTGTCTCCTGCAGTTAGGGAGGTCCTGCCTGATGGGTGCATTGAACCCAGACATTAGCAGCTGACTACTGATATCGACCTGGGTCTGTGCAGGGGCCGGGGGTGGGTGGGGCTTCAGCAAGAACAGGCAGGACGGGTCCACCCTTGAAGCTCATGGCCCAGTGGACTTTTCTAGTGATGTGATGTTTAGTGATATGACCTTCAAGGGGAATGCTGATCCAGGGCTAGCAACGTACTTGACCACTTTTGAAAGCCAGATACAGGGAGGGCCGAGAGAGGGACTGGGAAGGCAGGGTAAGGCCCAAAGCAACTGCGCCCTCATGGAAGATTGACCCTGGGGTTAGTTGTATGCACTTCTTTACCCAGGGCGCCGGGGAAAGCCCCGGCTGGGCCTGCAGAGGGCAGAGGTAACAGCTACAGAGCAGAGCCTGGAAGGAGAAAGGAGCTCAGGGTTCCAGCCATGTTCACCTGAAAATGAGCCTCTGACAGCTTATAAGCCTTGGTCAGGGGAGATCTGGAGAAGGGGAAGCAAGCGTGGTCACGCCCGCTCACACTGGTCCCCACACCCGCATCTCAGCATTATTACCCCCTGTACATTTGCGGTGTCTCGCTTTTCTACCACAATGCGACCCATCCTCCCTGCAAAGGTGGGTCACAATCCCCCTCAGAGGCCAGTAGCCCTGCAGCTTTCAGACCAGCACAGGGACTAACATAGGGAGCCTCAGCAAATGAGAGACAGGGAATTAGAAAAGAACACAGAAGCAAATGAATGAGTCACTTGGTGTCTGGCAGGATTCCCTCGTAGGAAATTTTCCGGCTGATAAAAACCAGCCGAGCAGATTCCTGCTTGAATTACTGTTTTGGGTAACTCTGAATTAGCCTGCCATTTAGGAGAAATCTTGCAGCAATAGCAAATGACTCTGGTTTGTCAAATGAGTCTTGAACTCCACTGTGCCATGGTATGGGATGCTGTTTCCTCTGTCCTAGGCCAGGGGGCACTTCGTGGTGTAGCCCTGGTTGTGTACCTCGGTTTAAGGTCCAGGGTGATTGGATTATGGTAGGACACATCCCAAGCTCATGCTTTGCGCATTAGCTTCCATAGAATGTGGAAAGGAACCCCCAGGATTAGTCTTTGTTCCTGAAAGTTGATCTCTGTAGTGAAGCAAACTGGCTAATATAAAGGACAGGCTGTGGGTTTGTGGTGGTGCAATAGCAGTGATCCTCTCGCGTCTCCTGCCCATGTCTTTATTTTTTCTTCACACGGCCATGATGTTGGTATCATGACAGCTTCATGGTTATCATCATCATCTGTAATACTCAAGTGCTACCTTGAGGCCCAGGGTAATCATTTTGCCTGAGAGTTGTAGTCCCTGCTGTTGCATAAGCACATGGGGTCACAGCAACCTGTCCCTGGGCCATTTCCACTGTCTGGGTGTGGAAGAGCGGGCTGGAGCTGCATCTGTGGTTGTCCAGGTCTAGCACACCTGGGCTGCTGGCCTCCTGAGAGCCAACTGTGGTGGGTGCTGTGGGTGCTTTTTTTCTGGCTATGACAGCAGGTTCTATCTGCAGCTCCGAGTGGCAGAACCAGGCAGTGCTTTCTTCTGTGACTGTCACACAGATTCATATTTACACCAACCAAGCCTTCAGGACCTCCTTATGTCAGCTACTCATACCTCTTCTTTTCCTCCACTTTTTGGCCCTGGCCCTTGGAGAGGGCAGCTGAGGTCCCCATTAGAAGATGCTAAGAGTTAGGTGACAGGCATTGTGTCCATTTCTCCCTGCAGCACTGTGGGCTGTCCCTACCAACTGCTCCTTGAGGCCCCTGAAGTGAGGCCCAAGCAAGGCAGGCTGCTCCAGGCC